GTGTTTTAGAAGATTCAATGTCAAGGTACACTCTGTTATGTACTGCACAGAGGACAGGGTCAAGCAAGCCGTCAGGGAGACCCTCCCATCGAGTCACAAGGTTCAGAAAGGACCCCCTTCTTTCTAAACTCCTTCTCAGAGAGGAGTCTGGGTGCAGCTGGATCCAATCCTAGTCCTAGACTTGGTCAACGGTTTATGTCTGAAGGATTATATATGCGTAATCAATCCTCTATAGGACTTAGTTAGGATTTCAAAACTTAGCATGCTATTAGTCACTTACCGAGAATCTGTCACTGCAAGGAATCTCTCAACCTTGAGGAGTAGAACCTGAAGCAAGCATCCTCACAAAAGGGGAGATCCTGGTGTGCAGCCGCTGCCGTACAGGAGAGCTCAAAGGGCTCTGGGGCTGTCAACTATTTCTACAGTAAGATAATTGACCCATAGCAATATTTTCATGGGAACAAAATCTCTAGGTCCCCACTCCAGACAGGGTTTGGGGTATGTTGCCAGCCATACCCCAAAGTCCAGTGTAAGTTATTGCAACTGATGTTGTGGTGGGCAGGCGAGGGGGTGGTGGGACCAGGATCCCCACTGAAGGAGCGGGGTGCTCGGCGTGGCAGGGGCTGGCTCCAGGCACCCCTGGGGTTTGCTCTGCCCTCACGCAGACGGCCAAGTGGCAGGCTTGGGAGAGAAGGCCGGGTGAGAGGGGGCTGTGGGAGGCCCCTCAGCCAACCCTCATTTCCATACAATTCAGGGAAGGTGGCTTCACCCCCTGGCAGCTCCCAGCCGGGGACACGAGCCATTCCCAGTCCCCTCTGCCCTGCCCTGGGTGGCTCCAGGCTGGGGCACTGCTGCAGCTGGCCAAGTGGCAGCGCGGGTCCCTCAGTGCCCTGTGCCAAGGACAGACCCATGTGTGGGATGGGTGGACACCCACACCCAGCCCCACTATGGCATCGCCATAGAAATGGCTTAAAACCAGTTTTATTAGTGTGCAGTTACAGAAACATGACCCCACCACCATTAGAAATGGCAAAGTCACAGCTGCTCGGCCACACACAGCACCCGCTGTCCCCGGGGCAGTGGGTGTCACAGAGCCATGAGGGCACAGGATCCCTCTGCCCCATGCACAAGGAGCCACCATGTCCCCAGCAAGGCTTGGGACAGCAGGACATGCCCCATGCCTTGCTGGGGGCTGAGCACTTTGCAGCCCCAGGCCCATGGGGTGAGCAGGGCACACCACTGTCCCTTGAGGAGGGGTCACAGTGACACTGGGCAGCTGCCCTGAGGGGATGCTGCTGCCCGGCCACGAGGAAATATTTCGCTCTTGCTCCATAAAAGCCATTTGTGTGTCCCTCCCTGCTGGCAGGGACCCAGCTCGGGGGGAAGAAGTCCAGCAGCTACTCAAGAGGCAGCGGCACAGGATGGGGACAGCGTGGGGACAGAGGCGTCCTCTCCTCCAGAGGGGCCAGGGTCTGTCCCTCACCTCTTCTTGCTTCTGCCCTGCCCAGCTCTGATGCCAGGGAGGCCACCTTCCAAAACACCCTGGCGGGGTGTCAGAGCAGTCCCCCTGCTCTGTCCCCTGCCCCGGTCCCCAGTGACCATCCGAGCGGAGCTCAATTCACCGGAGGAGCCGTCTCCGGCTGCAGGAATGTGTTTCATCTCTGGCCAGCTGACCCCTGGCGATTCCCGGCAGCCACCCCAGTTTGAGGCCAAGAAGTGACCTATTTACACCAGGCGAGCTCCCCACAAGCCCACAGCATCGCACCAGGGAGGCCATGGGGAAGGAGGGCTGGACCAGGCACTGCCACTCACCCAGACCCCGCAAAGCCCCGTGCAGGGTCAGGCCTGGCCCGTTGCAGCCACCCTGGGCGATGGCCTTGCTGGCAGGAAAAGGTGGGTCCTCTCCGAGCATCAGGAAGCAGCCAGGGAGGAGACCAGACACAGGGGAGCCGTGAGGAACGGGGACGTGCGCTCAGCATCGTCCTCCACGGGGCAGAGGCTGCAGCGACAGCCCCATCTCCCCATCCCTCCCACCCAGCTGTAGGGCTGCCCCATGGAGGTCCCTCTGCCAGGGCTCAGTGCTGCCCAGGACAGACCAGGGAGCCATCCTGGGTGTCCCCAGTGCTCCTGCCAGCACAGCATTTAGTGCCCAGGAAGGACCAGAGCTGCGGGGAGCCGTGCTCAGAGAAGGGGCAGGGCTGGCAGGATTTGTCCCTGGAGGGGGAAGCGCCTTCTGCAGAGGCAGAAGCACCAGTTCCCATGGCACACACATCCCAGGGAATGCTGGAGGTTCTCACTCAAAGGGGCACGGAGACCAGGCTGCTTCCTCACCCTCCTGCTGGCAGCCCTGGGCAGGAGGGACATCTCCAGAGCATCCGCCTCCAAGGCCAGCTTGGCAGCCATGGAGGAAAAACAGAGGAACAGAAAATCCCTCAAGCCTCTTTCCCGTTACTCCATTGCTCCGACCTTGGCCGTGTCCCGACAGGCCCCCCCAGCAACCACACATACCCTTCCCCAGCCCCATAACCTGCTCACCCCAGTCCTGTCCTCCGAGGGGTGACGGTGGCCTGGCTGTTTGGGGGGCAGGGGGGTGCGTGGGAGCCCCACTGCCACCCCAGCGTGTCCCAGGCTGGGGGTTACGCAATTGCCTTTCCACAAACACAAGGAACTGCTTGGAGGGATTTGTGGAGAACAGCGCAGAAGGAAAACAAACCTGCTCTTGAACTTTGCAAGACACTGTGTCATTCAGAGGGACTTGCCATGTGGGTCGCCCCCTCTTTAACCCTCAAGGACACACAAACTGGGCCAGGACGCCTGGGGTTTAGATCAACGCGCAGCTGAGGGAGGACTTTCCGCCTGACATTTTGCTTTTAAAGCCACTAATAGGAAAATGTCACCTCTGCCCCCGCTGCCACCACTCCCCCCCAGCACTACTGGAGACCCAGGAAGCTCCCAACCACCTTGTCACCTTGTCATTGCTTTGCAGTGCTGGCAGAGCCCCCGCTAATCCTCAGACATCATTGGCAAAGGGATTTCAGCAGCACAGGCTGGGTTTGTGTTGTCCCCCCCGTACCCTCAGCAGCACCAATTCCACCCGGGGTTTAATTATTACTATTATACACCCACCCCCAGGTGCTCAGGGTCTGGCTGCTGCCACAGCAGAGGGTCCGAGAGTGGGTCCAGAGCCAGGTTTCCCCACTGGCAGCATCGCTGAGATGGCAGCTCCCTGCCTGTCCCCGGGAAACAAAGGAGGAGTTGTTGGGCAGGCAGCTTGCATCAGAGCAAATGCGATTGTTCTCATCGGATTTTATGAATTCCCTCCAGAGCTCCTACGTAACAGGAGTACATTAGAGGGCTTTATCCCTGCTAATTTCAGACTACAAAGTCAAACCGTGTCTCCGATGAATCTGCACGGCCGGGCTTATCCACAGGCAGCCCCGGCACCTGCCAGGAGGCTCGTCATGAGCTCGTTAGCAGAGGGCACCGCATCCTCCGCGGGGGCACCGAAAAGGAAACCTCACGTGTCAGCCACGGCCCCCTCTCCATGTGCCAGGCACGCTGACTCACACCTTGGGCACACGGTGGGGACAGCAGCTGATGGCCACACGCAGCCTTTTGCAAGGGGAAGTGTCAGGAATAAATATCCCCATCCTCTCCCCCCCCCAGCTTTTCAGAGGCAGTGCCAGCAGCAGCTCAGGGCAGCTCACCGCCCTCCACAGCTGCTCCCAGCAACAAGTGGCAGGTTAAGGATGGACAGACCCACCTCACGGGGAAAGCCCCCCTGCCCCCACATGCAGACATAAAATAGTGAGGTGACTGCAAGGTGCTAAAAATACCTGTTGAATGCTGACACCTGTCCCATAGGGTTCAGGCACAAACAGACAAGAAAAAAGCAACACCAGGCCGATGTCGGGAGAGCAAAGGTAAAAATCCTCTTCAAAAAGTACCAAAGAGCACATGACAGCCCTCAGAGAGACTTTGGTCAGGAGGAGTTGATAGCAACAGTTGGGGAACACGAAACTAAAGCTGCAGGGCTACAGCCCATGAGAGAGTGACCTCCCACCACAGCCTTCCTGTCACATCCCACCCCTCCTCGGCACACCTGCAGGGACCCAAAGGATGGGCCAGGGAGAAGATCCTGGCAGTATCCACCTCCCAAAGATCTTCAGTTCTCCAGAAACTTCTCACTTTGACCCTGGGCAACTGTGAGAAGGAAGAACATCCCCACAACTTACCTCAGCACTTCCACACGCAGCTCTCCCTTGCACCATCACGATAACCTACAAGCTTCACAAGGGGAAAAGTCACTTATCTAAAAACAGATAAATCAGTGTACCCCTCTTCCCAGAGCCACCAGTGCTTTGGAGTTTCTAGTTTCTATTTCAAGTTACTCACTGTCCTCTCACTTTCTGACACTTCCTTCCCATCCATTTGTCCCAAGTAAGATTTTAAGCTGCTTAGGATACCTTTCAGGCTCCGCCGCTCTCCCCCGGTTGCTGCCATTGCAGCTAATCCTGCAGGAGTTTCTTACGCACGTTTTGGCTCAGCTCAGCTTAAAAAAAAATATCAATAGCTCTCTAGAAATGGGCTACGCAGCACAAGATCTAGTTTACAAGATCCTGAAGCAGGACCTGAAAAGGTTATTGGGAGACTTTAAAAGACATGTTGGCACTTATCAAAGTCACATCATTCTGGCTGGAAGGGACCTTTGAAGGTCTCTCACCCAACCCTCTGCTGTTTGGTCCTTCTGAACCGTCCTTTCCCCAGCCTAAGCAGGACTCGTTGCCACAGCCTCTCCTCCAGCCCCTGGCCATCTTGGTGGCTCTGTTGGACTTGCTCATCGCTCTCGACAGGAGGCCCAGAACAGACGTGCTGCTCCACACATGGTCTCACGAGGCAGGTTAAGCCTTGCTGTTCATACACTGCTTTTCCATCACACCACCAGAAAGATCTCCATGTTTCACCTCCTCCTCAGTCACCAGCAACAACAGAACCACCACTTACAATGAACAAAAAGAATTTTATTGGAACGTATACACACAGGGATAACAGAGGTATCTGAGTAATCAAATATGGAATGTTTAAGAAAGTTAAAATAAATAAGGATACCAAGTTTTGCCAGTGCTAGGTCCAGCACCAATATAAGTAAATGCCCTCTGAACAAGTCTGACTCTGACGGGGCCATCCCTGCAGAGCCTGTAAAGATTCCTACCACCAGAAAGTGGCCAATAATTTTGGAATACAAAGAGTCACAATAGTGCTTTCTACTGATGCGCATTCACACTGTTTATTCACCACTTTCGTCTCTTATTTCTTTAATAATATCTATTAAATTCTGAAGTCCAAAAACATAACCCGTGTCTTGGCCCTCATGCACCACGCTATCTTCTCCATAGTACTTGCAGGTTGTGTGGGCAAAGTCTATCATACGGACATCAACAGTACTAGCAGTTGGTTTGTAGGCATAAGCTCCTGCTGACTCATCTGAAGATTCCTCTGAAAGGTCCTCTAAGTCCTCTGGGTCTGAGTCGACAGCAACTTCCTGCCTTTCCTTCCCATCATAAATGATCAGCAAGGAGCTCGAATAGAAGCGGTAAGACTCCTGTTTCTCTAGGACAGACTTTAGTTCAGTCAGTTTTTTAATAACAGATTCAAAGAGTTCCCTGCGCAGATATTTGCCGTTATGAAAGAACTGGTAAAGTGCTTCTTTAAATCCTTGGACTGAGAGTTTTCTTCCATGGTACTTATTCATGAACATTAGCTGGCCAGTGCCTGCCTGGTAGACCTGTACATACAAAGACAAGAGAAAAGGAGCAGTTAAAATTGCTGGCAATACTGACTCAAAGCCTTGAAGGGGGGAAAAAAAAGATGTGCTAACGGAAAGCTTTTACAAGATGACATACTGCTCTTAAAATTGCTCCTGCACAGTTACAGAAACTGCTAACAACAACAGATCTGGCTGTATCTATGGAACTGGGATGAACGGAGGAAATGGAAAATTACTTCAGTTTAGATTTGAGCTTTTCCACCGGGAACATAAGAATGAGGAGTTTAAGTAAGATTAGGAAAGATGCAGCCAAGATCTCCAAAGTCAAGCTAAAACTTGTACCACAGCCACTCATTTAGCTCGTTACCTGCCTCTGCTCACAGTCGTACTGATTCCCAAATGCTGAGCTCTAGGTGACAGCAAACACTCCTATACAAAACTAAGCTGGTGCCCCACAATCCTCTGTACTTCAAGAAGTCAGAGGTGCTCCTGCAGGAAGATTCCTTTCTACAGGAAAGCAGACTATGCACCACACAGCTCGATAATGCCTAAACATCTGGGTCAAGCAAGGATTGCAGGTGCCTCCAAAGTTCCTCCTTGTTTCCCAGCACAGGTCTACACTGGAAGGTGAGCAATGAGCAGGCTCTGCCCAAACCCCAGCACACTGCGGTTGGAAACGCAGCTCCCACACTTTCATTTCTGCCTTGTGCTTTTCTCCGAAGTTAAACACTGAGCTGAACACCAAACATGCCAACAGCCATGATGTGGAACAAGTCCTAGCAAACACTGCTGGCATTCCTGGAATCTACCGGATGGGAGGAGAGGCTTCAGAAAAGCCTCAAATACAAACAAGTTGTTTCCCATTTGTCACTCTAGGAATACAGAAACAAGTAAACAAAACACTCAGAGTTGTGTGGACTTTCACCTATCTCCTTATTTGACCATGAGTCTTATCACATTTACCAATCTACTTCTTGTCTGTGCTTTCCAGCAAGTCTACTTTAAGCAGTGAAAACCTGGGTCTTTTCAAATTCGACAAGACAGAACCGATTGCTTCTTAATATTCTGGCAAAGTTTCCACATGCTTTATTCAAAATGCGTGCTCTGGCAGACCCTCTTTTCGATTGTTTCCTACCCTCTCCTGAAATGTTAATTGAATCAGTGATTTTTACTACACAGTTTTTAATTGCTGCTACTGTGCAGGAGTCTGTTTTTGTGCTGAGAGAACACGCTCCCTCACACAGAGCGTGTGCTGCAGGTTGCTCCTGCAGATGCTGCCACCTTCAACTGGGAAGTGGTACTCAAAAGTCTCATTCCTCTTCCCGAAGGAAACAAAGCACAGCATCTCGGGGACTACGTAAGCCCAAAGCCCCACTAACAGAAACAGCTGCAAGTCTGTTGCCTTACACATCATCAGTTTTCCTCTCACCTGCATGCCACAGACTCGGACTCCAATGACAGCCGACGTGCTCTGCTGACACTTGCGAATCTGATTTGCCTTCTTCTCTTCGGACGCATCATCTCCATGTTGTCGGGTTCCCATCTTAAGGTCCAACACACACGGTACCTCGTATCGAGATGTTAGGTTTTCCAGCAAAATGAATTCTGATTGGTTAAGGAACAAACCTCACAACGCGGAATAAAGTTTTTACAACTATTATCACAGATTTTATGGTGCCAGTCTTAAACTTAAGCACACCCAAAACATGCCCAGTATATAACTGCCTATCAAAAATTACACTTACATATATTTGGCATAAAGGATGATGGATATACAGTTCCAGTTTCACTGGTATCTAGAGAAGCCAAGTGAATCTCTACATAAGCGAAAAAGAAAAAGCAACCAGGATAACACAGAAATACAATCTGGCAGCCAACTTGGAATTATGATGTAATTCCTGCCTAGCAGGAGATTATTTTTGTGGGAAATGCAGCTTGTGTGTGCTTCATTTACCATTCAAAAAGAGTGAAGCATTTTCACACCACCGCTGAAACACAGAAGTTAAAAAGCACTTCAGACATCTGCAGTAATACTGTTCCAGAGATATCACACACGTCTACTTAGGTAATTTAATAATTATCTACAGTGAAATGGTGAGGATACCAGCCATTAAATGCTTTCTATCATTTTGAACTAGAGATGTTCTAGTAATCCATTCACCAAAACTCCTCATATGAGGCAACTGTTTACCTAAGTATACAGATACAGCATTTGTGCAGGATTTAACAGTTGCACCAAGCCTGCATACAGCAAGAGCTCTTTTTTCCCCACAGAACACACAGGGTGGAGATGTTTGCCTACAGTTCCAGAGAACAAAAACAACACCTTTCAGCTTTCATGGATTCAGTCACTGCTTCTATTTCTCATGCTCCAATCCGACATGACAGTTTATATTCAGCTTTTATCAAAAAGGCTTCTAAAAAGAGACTACTAAAAGCAGATAACTCCAGGCATTGGAATATCCTCTATATTTAAGGCAACACAAAGAAGTTTCTAAAAAGGGAGAGATGACTCTAGTTTTTAAGGTCACCAATACCAAACAGTAACAAAAAGCAACAGAACTCTCCTCCTTTGAAAGCTTTCATTAGTAAACTGTTTTTGTGGAAGATCCCAAACACAGGATGCTATAAAACCTTTCCACTAACTAATCCGCAATTTGTAGATTTGAATTAAGTTATCTGAATTTCCTAGCCTCCCTACTTTATTATATGCTGGAAAAACCCATAATCTGGGAAGTGCTGGCAATCCCTCCAAAGCCACCAAATAAATCACCGCTTCAGAGAATCTCTCTGGATTGCAGTTAAGCCTGCGCTGTACTTTTATCTGGCACGTTCAAGAAACAGAAAGCAGAGCCCTACACATTCCACTGTTATGAGGTACTTTTAGGAAAGGATACTATATTGATTCCGATGTTTTGCATTTTCCTTCATCCTCTGTAACTGCTGCTGGTGACATTTCATACTCCAAGGATTATGGTGTTTAAACTGTGAGCTGACATTTCCTTTTTTCTCTACAGTATAATACAAGACTTCAGATTTCTTCAGCCACTCAAATTCTTCCTCTAATTTGTGACTAGAAAACAGAACAAAACAGCAAGTTAAAATTCCAGTAGAAAAATAAGTACTTCAAAGGGGTTGTCAGTGGACTTAATTTTACAAACTATTTTGTTCACTCCAATAGCTAGCATAAGCTTTATTTTGTTTTCTGTGCAACTGGACAATTTGCCCATCAGTAGTATTTCAACCTTTTTATAAAGCTACTACCATATTAATATAAATTAGCATATAACCAACTATATTACAAAACATGTAGCAATTCTATTTATATATTATCTGTGTGAATTACTGCCATAGAAGTAACGCAAGAAGCAGCGATATGCTTTAAGATTTATCCTCTGCTCAGGCCACTGTTTTTAGCATAATACATCACAGCTCACAGTGGGCACAATTAATATAAATGAACAAGGGGGAAAATGTCACTAACAGGGATAAAGCAGGATTCCTACAAAAATGTGCCATATATAGTAACACTGAAATGTTTTTGGTTTGGTTTTGTACAACTACTGTACTTTTGCAGGTGGTTGTTTGGGTTTTTTTTTTCCTCTTTTTGCAGACGCTTCAAAAGTAACACTGGAAAATGTTTTTCAATTGACTACAGCACAAAATAATGAAAAGTCTTAACACGCTACTGCACTGAGAACATGTTACTTTTCTACTGAACACTTCTGCACTGAAGAAGGTCAGGAAAAACAAGAGAGGAAAAGAAAATGAAAGTTAAGAGTTCTGGAGAATTCTCTGGAATTCCGAAGATTAAATCTTAAGCTGAAAGCAAAAAATGTTATGCTTCAATGCTCTGCGTTCCAGTTTCCTCTATCAAACGTACCTTTTCATTTTTTCCTCTTTTCTGTGCTGTCGGACCCATTCCTTAGATATCTTCTCATTTTCTAACAACATTGTCTTTTTGTTAGTCCATCGCAACAGCTTATTTTTGGGTTCACAGTCAGAATTATCTAAGTTTTCTAAGTTATCGTGGTCCCCATTTAATGGATACGCTATTAGACATAAGTTCCCATCTTCATCCTCTTCAAAGCTCACAGACACCACACCTGAGGAGAGAAAGGTCATAGACAGTTAAGAATTGCTGAAGTGACAAGGAAGCCTTTTAGAACACATTATTTTATACTTAGAATATAGCAACTTTTTGGTTTTTTTTCTCTTACCCTGGTCCTTAGTTTCTATCTTGCCACAGGCCAAACCTCATCTGCCAACCTAACAAATATCAAAAGACCTAGACAAAAATAACACCTCACAAAAGACAATTTATCAGATTGACAGAACAATGACACAAAAGGTTCTTTTCTCTCTCTGATGCAGTCAAGTAAGAATCAAATAATAACAGGAGACAATTTCAATTAATAAAAGTTTTTATTATTTTAAAAAACCTGACTGGTCTGACCCTAAGCAAAATGTAAAACATTTGTTAACATCTTGCAGTGAAAAGTGACCTGCACAAAAAAAACCCCAAACCACTACACCAAAAGCTTTAAGTTTTGCATGACAGCAAAGCAAAAAGCACTTATCCAAACAACATCTGGTTAATAGATCCCCAGGGGAAAGGAAAGACTTGCAAGTAGAGGAAAACAATAAAAATGTCACATTACAATAGAAACTAGTCCAAAAGCTTCCACTTCGAATTACCACGTTTAATTACACATTTTCTTCTCCTTTTTGGAATATATTTTATTGATACTGATTTATGAAGCAATCTTGTGAAATAAGTAACAAAAAATGCAATACAAAACAAATCTGTTTGTGGTACAGAAACATGGTGAACCCTGAAAGCATATTTTTTTTTCCTTATCCTCCCCTCACAAGTCTCTGGAGCACTGCATTGCATTTTAAGAGTCTTAGTGGAGCACCCTGACAGAGATGCGCTCAGTGCTACATTAGCAAGTTTCAGTGGTTAATGAAGCCGTAACAATTGTCTGAATTGTTTTTTTAATTTTGTTTTTCAGTCCTCTCTCTTTATTCTCATATCAATCAATCTGCACAGTTCTTGCAGCTCATCACTAGGCCAGAGGGGAGAGGTCTCGGCGAGAGATTGGCACTTCTGGGCTGGGCAGGCGGCTCCGAGACCTACAGCAGCTGGGGCAGGGAGCGCAGCAGCTCTCACTGACAGTCCTGCTGCCACAGAGGAAAGGACAACAGGAAAAAAGGGGGGGGAGCCAGCTAGCAAATGGCCCTTGGCTTTATCCTGGAAAAAAATAACAGAGACGGACCAAGTGAGGCCCCTTACCCCTAAATCCCTCCCCACGCTCCCCAAAAAGTCATTCACACTAGTACAATTGTTCTATTACATTTTGAGTAGTATCATTCAAAGATCACATTTTCTTCCAGTCCAACAGAACTTGTAGTTAGAAATGTGAAAAAGTCTCTGTAAGCTTGCAGGGAATATAACTTTGAAACATCTCCTCTGAGGTCTTCCACCAGTTTCACAACAGCTTCGTAACCCTTACAGATGTTAAAATCAACGTGCTTTAAAAAGCAACCCCAATTTAAAAAGTGCTTCAGACATATTATTTATTAATCACCAAGCAGCAGTTGATGGAATAATGAAGAGAAAGAAAAGTGTTTCTGTTAACTAGCACAAGGCTTAGGAGAACTGGAATTTCCACTTATACATAACATCTGACTCAGCCTCATCACAGCTACTTGATCCTTGCCTACCTAAATGCCATGAATTTTCATTTCCTTAATGGCAGAAACAACCCTGCAAATATTCAACAAGACACCTTACTGACACGTATTTATTGTGATCAAAATGAGAGTCAGAGGAGAAATCCAAAAACAGAAGAGACCACAACTAAGCTCACACAAAACACTGTCAACCAATCTTACCAAAACCCTATAAACAAACATTAAACAAGTGCCAAAAAAATTTACCTAGAAATCCACAAAAAAAGCAGCAGAAAATTACTGAAAACATTCACAAGCTGTTAGCTACTTACCTGTGCCTAAAGGAGATATATGGGCTATCACCAGCAGAGCTGCTCTACTCTAATGCTGTTAGTCAGCCCAAACACCAACTTGGCAAGCATTTCCACCCTGCATCTCCACAGCCTGCCTCAGACAACATCAAAATACATGAAAAGAAAACCCTAAAATCTCTTCCACACAGAAGAGATTTCAGAGGTAACAGAGAGCACAGCACACTCATATTTACAGAAAGAAAAGGCCCAACGGCATCCTAAGGTTTCCAACTTACCCTCATATTGCGGAGTGAATTTACGCATTTCTGTTGGGAGAGTCTCATAGAACTGGTGTTCCCTCTGAATAAGGGGTTTACAGATGGTCTTGTCATTAAACCGGAGGACACAGGAGTGTCCTCCAACTTGGTGGACAAAAGGCTCGAGCAGGACTCCCTTGGAATAGTGCTCCACTTCCATAGCTCCAAATGCTGGGCTCATCCTTGTAGCACATTAGACAGAAGAAGGCGACAGTAGTGAAGGCAGTTCAGAGCCAGAAGCCTCCGAGACCAGAAGGTGTTTATTCCGATTCAAAAGTCTGTTAAAACAAACACAAGAGAGCGCCGGGCCGTCAGTCTCCCCGCACGCCGAGGCCTGGGTAAGCAAGGCGGAGAGGGAGCCGGTGCCGTTCGCAAAGGCGGCCGCGCAAGCTCCTCCGAGCCGAGGGGAGCGGAGCCGGGGACTGACCGCTCTCTGCAGGGAGGCGGCCGACTGCGGGCCGGCGCGGGGCGCGCCCAGGGAGCCACTCCGCGGACACGCCCCCCAGCGCGACGCAGCCAATGGGAGTCGCCGCGAGGCAGGGCGGGCGGCTCCGCGGGGTGTTGGCCCCGCCCGGCCGCGCATGCGCATCGGCAGCGCTGCTCAGGGCCCAGGGAGCCACTCCGCGGACACGCCCCCCAGCGCGACGCAGCCAATGGGAGTCGCCGCGAGGCAGGGCGGGCGGCTCCGCGGGGTGTTGGCCCCGCCCGGCCGCGCATGCGCATCGGCAGCGCTGCTCAGGGAGAGCTGCGCATAAACCCCCCCCCCCCCTTTTTTTTTTTCTTAAATTAATTTAAAAAATATCGACGGTAATTCCTAGCGAGCCCTACTTCAAGTTACGCCTCACGCCCTCCAGCGGCCGTGCGTTCACAGAGCCATTCGCGTCACCGTCCCCAACGGTCCCTTCCCTCCCCCGTGCCCACACCCCAACCCAGCCACAGAAACTCCTAAATAAACCCAAATTTACAATTCCTCCCTCCCAGACAACGACAGTAATTCCCAGAAATCTGCCCGGACACTTATTTCACCAGCTTATTCACAACACGGCAAAATAATTAAAATATTTAATAGAGGCTAACTTTTCCGACGAAAAACACGATGCTAATAAGGCATTTTCCAAGAACTTATTTTTGCGTAAATCCAGCAGAAAGCAGAGCGGTTTGTGCCATCCGCATCCAAAGGCTCCGTGGTCACCCCTGTGACCACACGCTGCTCAGCCCTGGCCAGCCTCCAGCTTCATGCAACTTGCTCTGCAATAGGCAATTAAAGGAGCAAAGCTGAAAAAAAACAAATCACGACTATCTCGGTCTGTACCTTCCAGTAAATTTTTAAGTCAAGTTGCTCTAATTTTAGACCCGAACTTTAATCATTAACTTTTTGCGGCTAAAAACAACCTCCTACTTATTTTGTCTGAAGATCATTACATGAACAATAATGCACTTAATTCAAAGTGACTACAAAGTGTTCTAGGTCACAGGTCTATTTTTATTTGTCCTCCTTAGATATTTAACAGCTTTACATTAACTGGAAAAGCAGAGACCTGCAGCCTTGAAGCAGGGGCACTAACACAACTACAGGCACCTACAGCATGCCCTGTACATAAGGGCATTTATTCAATTAAACAACTAAACTGCTTAAAGAAACAACAGATCGATCAACTGAACTCCAGCTCCTGGAATGTTTACCTCCACCCTAGGATAACAGGTCAATACAGTTGTACTCACTGTACACCAGTGAGGTTTTTTTCCTCCCTCCCCTCTTTCAGGAGCCTTATTTGACAAAAAGCAACCAGCTTTTTCCTTTGTTTGCTTTTAAAAAAACAAATTATTTAATACAGAAAACAAAACTCAGGCTACCTCTGCAAGAGTACATAAAATTTAACCTGGAATCGGATTTCCGAGAAACAGTGCTCTCTTCTGATACTCTTTCTATTTGAAGATTAGAGCAAAATCAATAAACTTTCCATCTTTGTTTGTACCACTTTCACTTTCCTAGTATTTTTCATAATGCAGCTACTGCATCCCCAGAGAAGTTTCTGTTTCTCAACTACCTCAACATCAACAAACTTCATGACTTGGAGACACACAAGTAAAAACCCCTCCATTCCACCCCGGACACAAACCACTTCCAAAGCCCTCTTCCACCCACCCCCATGCTGAGCTGCGTGGTGCCCAGGGAGCGTGGAGATCCGTGTGTGCAGCCTGGGACACCGGGCAGTCCCACCCATCCGCAACCACCGCAGTCAGAAGGTGGCACTGGAGCTACAGAAGAGCTTGGTGCCTCTCCACGGCACCACCCACCCCACGCAGGACCATACCGCTCCTCGGGAGGACTGGACTGTAAGTTGGGTCACCAGCAGATGTCTAACAGGCTTCAAGCCTTCACCAGGCACACACTTAGGGAGCCACATCAGTGCCCGAGCAAGCTCCGAGTGCCACTTCCATTTTCTGTTGGAGAAATGTTACGCATCAGCTTGTGTTTGTATAATGCACCAGTAATTTTTACAAGTCTCAAGAGTTTTAATCGGGCTTTCCTAGAGCAAATAATGCCTCCAGTCTACTGGAATTTCCCAGGGAAAATCAGAAGAGTGCCAGCTTTCACTGGGAGCGACAGTCACTGTGGTGACAGAGCTTCACACTGGCACAGTCACTTTTAATAGCATCACAGTACATCAGCATGACAAGGGCTGCTCTTTCCAAGACAGCGTTACCATTCTGTGGCCGCCTTCCTAATTACCCCTGATGCAGAGACACTGATTGGCAGCTGCGCCAATTCAAACTTAGAAAGTACCTTGCAACATCCCTTAACCTCAAACACCCAGTTAGTCCTAGTCCTACTGCGTCGGAGCAGAGTTGCATCAGGAGTAAAGCCTAGAAGATGTTTACAACTGTAGAAAGGACTCTCTGGCAAAAGGCACCTCCAACAGACCATACACAACACCTTGTTTACCCAACACGTCCTCAGGGAGCTCGTTAGCAGCAGCTCCACTTGTTTGCTTTCAGGTATACCCAAGTGGTCTGGACAGTCCTTGCACATGGTGCACCACGTTCACGCTGGGATGGAATTGCCAAGCACAGAACTGGACAGGACTACTCGTCCTACTTTACCGTTTCCTGAAAAAGCAGGATCTGGCAGCACACCCGGGTGTAACTTCCCATTTGAGGGATGACATAGCAGGTTTTTTATAGCTCTGATATTGTAAAAGCATGGGTTATGCAATATTTAGGCAGGACAACAACAGGACCTGGAGCGCAGTCGTAATGCCCATTAGAAATGCTTTGCACCGTTTCATTTTATAACTACTTCCATAAACCAACTCACAAGTATGTCAAACTGGTTCCGCTTCCTTAGAAACAAAAACTTTAACTTAAGACCAACAGCTTCAAGTTGCATTGATGTCAACCAGCACAAGCACAATACAGTTCTTCACTGCCTTTCCTCTGATTCTACACCCAGTTTGTTTTCAACGCTCTTTGGGCAAGAGCGAGCACAGAACAGCTGATTTTAGGCAATTTTTTCAGACAGCAAATACAAGCTCAGCGTACCCTGTCCTTTTGCTCCTACGTGCTTTTATGTTCCCTTGGTTAAGATTTTTTGCTCAAAGGACACATCAGCAGAAAAAGCAGGTGTACTATTCCTTCACATGTCAAGCATTTTAAGAGAAAAATCTGACATAACTTGAAGGAAGCAAATAAAAACTCATCTAGACATAACAACACTATCTTGAGTAATGTCATTCTTGTAGTAAGCAGCAAGTAATGTTTAAAAGCTAAATCCGTAAACCAGAAATGACATGTACAGACATCTTATTCTTATTCACATGTGACAATGACCATTGAAATAATACTGCAGTGAACTCATGTTTTCAGACTTTAATATTAATCTCAGGTGACGGCATTCTTTGGAAGGCATTTCATGTCATTACAGATTCTTGACTTAGTCCCATACGTAATTGCATTAACAAACACATCCTCCGGAGAGCACAGCTCAATTAAGCAGCAGCTTCTTCCTTCATAACAACCTCAAAAATAACACCTTTTCCCCAAAACTGATGCAGAGCTGCCCTCCTAACCAATCTGTAAAAATTGGGTTCTCTCAAGTGTAGATTTTTTTCCCTCTGGGTGGTCAATTACCTGCAGCTCCAAATAGCCATAAATCAGCTTTACGGTGACAGAAATAGCAAGGCAGCAAAGCTGTCTGCCTGTCCTTTTCTCATTTCACTGGGTAGTGAGGAGAAGCTGACACGGTACCTACCCTGTGAACCAGACAAAGCTAAGCCCCTTCCAAGGTTCCGAGGAACCAGAGGAACGGCAGAGCCAAACAACAGGAGAAACAAACAAACAGAAACAACCCATTAGAGACACCAAATAGAAAGCTGCTTCAACCTGAAAAATATCAGGAACAAATCAATACCAGCTGAGAAAGGAACAGGAAGGTGCAAATATCAGTGTGGAAAATGTATGGCATGTTTGTGAGAGCCCACCACCTGTTCTGTGCACAAAATCGAAAAGGTACCTCAGGTCTAAGTTGGTAAGTCATTACACTGCTCAGAGAGATCAACTCTTCACAACTGAAGCTGAACAAACACACTTTAAGAACCTACAATACACCTATCAAATTGGAACAATTACAGGAATTTTACAAGTTCTTATGTGACCAAACAATGTGTTCCTAGTGTCCTGTTACTTTACAAGGTACATTCCTTGAATCAAAGGACACAAAATACAAAGCAGAGGATGCAACATCAGAATATTAAAACCATTAGAGATGTTAAACATGCTCAGGCTCAAAGTTCTTGCAAAACTTGTGATTCATTTTGATGAAAACCAACATTACACAACATTACTTTATTAGCAGATTTGGCCACTTTAACATCAGTAATTGCTTCTAACATTCACTTTAGTTGCTGCTTGGCTCATGAGTCGAAGTTACTCCAGTGTGTTCTGCTCTACAAGTTCTTAAGACTCCAACGGAGATACTCAAACCCTCCAGTGCTCAGCCAGCTGCCTTAAAGCAATATCAGAAATAGAAAATTACTTTTTGAAGATGAACCGTATATAGATTAGGGAGCTAACCCTGTACAATATGGGTTTTCATTCTTAGCAGCAAAAGACCCCTGCATTCATTTATCACAACTGTTTTAATAGATTCCTAACTTTGAGGATAAATTACACCTCTAAATATAACACAAGTCCCACACTAGGATGCTTTTGAAGCCTTTTGTATCTTCAATAGTAATAAATAACTGATAAAGCTATAGTTTCTAGCTTTTCATCTTAAGGGAGAAACACAATGCCCACATAATAATGGACTCATAAGAATCCTACGGTTTTGCGAAAAGCCCTAGAAGCAGCCTTAAGCTCTGCACAATTACAGGATGCAAACACTTATTCCGATAACTACTTTTAAGGAAAAGGTTTATCTTCACTACTAGAGGGCACTGACATTGTCGATTCTCGGGTGTTCTTTTTTTTTTGTAAACATAAAACTGTCCCTTAAACAGCAAGCAATGCAGATTTAATACAGCAGGCTTAATAAGTTTCAACTTCATGTGTTGGGGGGTGGGAGGGTGGAAGACATCACACAGGTGAGCATATTGCTTTTTAGCTGTCTCCTTTTCTGTTTTCCCTATATATATTATTTTTTTGCCCTGCTTTCCCCGAGGTATAAGTTTCTACACAAGTCAAGGTTATTTAAGCTCTTCTGCAGCAAATCAATCAATGTAATGATCACTCAGTTATCCCCACATGACTTGTACTCATAGATGAGTAAGCATGAGGTTTCATAAAAATACCCAGCAGGAACACTTGGAAATCAAAGAGTAAAATATCAACTCCTCCACACTAGCATATTGAGACTATATGCGCATTCTCTTTCCAAGCAGAAATAATTTGCTACAGCCTTCACTGTATGAAAGAATTTCTCCAGATAAAAAGGAAAAAAAATATCCTTGAATTAATATAATCACACAAAAGAGGAAGAATTTCTCCAGATAAAAAGGAAAAAAAAATCCTTGAATTAATATACCTAATCACACAAAAGAGACTGAACCTAGGAACCCAGAATTATACATGAACTCACATACAAAGTTTCTATAAAACGTGTTTGCAAAACCCTTTGGGAATCTGACAGCTAACTGAGTAGCAGTTTTGGCCCATCAAGGCAGAAAGCCAATCTTGTTTTTAACATTAGACCATGAACAAAAGATTCCTACCAAAAAAGAATGCATGCTGTTTATCAAGTAGAAAGCATCTACTCATCAGTTCAATAAATTAAGAGCAGCAGCCCTTGCCCTTCTCCATACCAATTACAGGAACTCCCTGTATCAAGTTGTGTACATTTTTCCTGCTGTATTATTGGAGGAATTTAACAATAAAATTGAATAACATCCACTGGCATTAGATTCTAAAAAAATTCTGAGCTCTTTGCCAGAGCTCATCTATCACTAGCACATGACATGTCAAACACAGCTGAAATAGCATGTAGGTTTTTTTGAACGTTTACAAAAATGATGGAACATTTTTTAACAGTTTAACTTTTCTTTAAAAAGCATAAATACTTTTTAAAAAGTATCTTGGCAGTTTAAAACAGGAGAAAAACATCCTGAAACGTCCCAGGTTCTTTTGAGGGTTTTAGGTCAGGTATGGCACACCTAAAGGTACCACTCCTCTAGAACTCTTTTTGCCTGCATTGAAAGGGCA